ATCCAGGCTCTAATAAGTGTAGCATTTACTAATTAAAGCCTTACCTTGATTGTAACCATTAATAATGGGTCAAGGATGCAAAATTAGAAGGTAAAATCATAAGTTAAGCCCCTCAACTAACCCAGAATTGCTATTAAGCCCCTAGACTTTAATTGATGCAGTTAAGCCCTTGAACTCTGGGATCAAAGTAATTAAGCCCTTCTTCTTATGCTATTAAGCCCCTAGACTTTAATTTTTAAAATAAATTGCCTAAGAAGAAGGGTTTAATTGCTTTGATCCCAGAGTTAAAGGGCTTAACTGCATCAATTAAAGTCTAATAACGATTTTGGGGTTAGTTCAGGGGCTTAACTTATGGTTTTGCCAAATTAGAAAGAGGCAACTTCAAAACGTCATCATTTTACGTCCTGAAGTAATAGGATGGGCCACGAAGTGTCACCATGCAACGAAACGCTCTTTTTTTGGCTGTTAATGGAGTGTTTTAACGTCGTGACCTTTGTTTCTACCCTGGAACGTCCACAATAATTTATTCGATAAAATTGTCACCAGGCCTGTTATCTATTTTTCTTCTTCAAAACCGATGCCAGAAGCTGCTGCTGATTTCTCCTAATCTCCTCGATTCATAGCCGATCTGTTCCGTTGATTTTCCGTTTTGTTTCTCTCGTTTTTAGAGTCCGAAAAGCAATGGCGAGCTTGCTTCGGCTCTGGCACGGGCTCTCTATGGTGCCGCTACTCTCCTCTGACCCGGCCTCACCGGAACTCCTCTTCGATCGGATTCATGTGCTTCCGGAGAAACTTCGTCGTTGCGTCTGCTTCTTTTGACAGCGAAAATCGAAAAGCAATGGCGAGCTCGCTTCGGCTTTAGCACGGGCTCTCTGTAGTGCCCTTACTCTCCTCTGACTCGGCCTCACCGGAACTCCTCTTCGATCGGATTCACGAGCTTCCGGAAAGGCTTCGTTGTTGCGTCTGCTTCTTTTGACAGTGAAAATCGAGAGTGAGCTTTAGGTTTCCTGAATCAGGTTTTACGTTTTCTTAATTTAGTTGATTTTGGCTAATTAATTTCAATTTCTCATAGGTATGTGATGGCTTATGGCAGGCTCTGTGTTGTGACTAAAAGGTGATTTCATGGATGTTTCACATTTTCTGTGTGTTAGATCCTATTGAATTTAAAAAGTTTCCGGTCTGTTGTTTCCAAATTCTGATCTAATTTTGCAGCCATATCCGCCATATGAGAGACCTGCTTTGACAAAAGGCTATCTGTTCCCTCCACACAAGAAACTGGCACGATTACCAGTAAATATCAGCTTAATGTTTCTTGTCTTGTTGTTTCTATATTCCAATTTGCTATTTGCTGCCTGTGAGTCAAGTTGATTTTGTTGATATAGATGCATTTGCAATTATGAGATTATGCCTGTTAGTTAAGTCATTGTCAGCATTTCTTTTCCTCTTCAGGTTATATGATTATGAATTGGAATATTTTGTGAACTGAGTTTGTTGATGATTGGAAGTTTTTATTTAGTACGTTTCTTATTTTCATGATTATGTTATTAAGTTTCTGTTTTGATATATTTTTTTCATGGTTTTCATACTTGTGTTGGGTCTGGTGGTGAGAGGCAAACTCCTATGTGGTCTAAGGGAAAGGGATTGAGGTCCTCTTTCTTGCGCCTTTTTATTTGGCAAATATTGACATTGTGTGCATTGAAGTTTGGGTAGGTCACAGTAGTTTAAGGCTCTGATAATGAATGGTTGCTGATCATTTATCTAATGCTATTCTAATAGTGGGCATTTCTACATACTTGAATGCTTAGATGATTTATGAGGATCAGTAACAAGTATTGATAATTTGATATCCAAAAGCAAACTCTTACCACAAACTCTGGCAAGCTGGTATCCTGCAAACTGCAGATCCTGTTTGCACAAAACTGCGTGTTTGTATAGCTTCAAGACACCCGCATTCATGTCTATATGTACTCAGAGCTTTGATCTTGTTGAATCAGGGTGTATCAATCAAAAACTTGGAAGCTGGTCCTGATGGATGTGTAGCTGCTCTTAAATTTGAAGATGGATCTACCATATAAGCAGACACAGCAACCTTTTGTTTCAATTATAACACTGTTTTTCATTTCCTTGCAAGATGGAAGCCAGAGAATTGATGAGTGGGAAAATCCATCCTCTCCCCTTATATCTCCCTTTTGTCAAGATAGTTGTTGGCGTTGGAGCAAAACCAGCTGTTAGTCCATTTAAACACATGGGATTAAATATTACTGTCGGCAGTATACAGGTGAGCATTGTCAATAATTTCTCTGTTGTTAAGTCTATATTTTAACTCTATTAACACTTAAGAGTTTGGGATATATGGAGATCTGACTCTGTTTGACAGTCAGCTTTGCACTATTTTACCTGGAATTTTTTGTAATTGGAGATGTAGCAGCATTTCTGTTGAAGGTATATGTCTTTAGTCAAACAAGAAGAAGGCTTCTTCCCATAATCTGAAAGTGTGCTAGAGTGCATCTTACTCATTATGTTTTGCAGATGATTTGTTCATCTCCACTCATGATAGTGCTACTTCCCTATCTGCTATTGATGAGGTTTTGAAGGCTTTTTATGCTCATTCTGGTCTGAAAGTCAATTACAGCAAATCTGAAATCTTTTGTTGTGGCTTATCTGATTCTGCTATTGCTTCTTTGAGTGGTGTGTATGGGTTTAAGGTTGGAATACTGCCAGTAAAATATCTGGGCTTCCCCCTGGTCACTGGGAAGCTCTCTGAGAAGGAGCTTAGGCCATTAATGGCTAAAATTACTGACAAAATGTCTTCTTGGACTGCCAAACATCCCTCTTTTGCAGGTCGAGTACAACTAATATCCTCTGTCATCCAGGGAATTACAAATTTCTGGTCCTCCATTTTCATCCATCCAAAGAAGGTTATCAGAGAAGTTGAACAAAAATGCAATGCTTTTCTCTGGAATAACACTACTGATACAGCTAGAGGGGCTAAAGTGAAGTGGGAATCTTTATGTTTTCCTAAACAAGAAGGTGGTCTAGGTATTAAAGGGCTTGAACTATGGAACATTTCTTGCATAATGAGATACATCTGGATGATATTTTCTCAAGCAGGCTCTATATGGGTAGCTTGGGTGCATGAGTACCTATTGAAAAATTGCAGTTTTTGGACAGTTTGACTTCCTACAGATGCTTCATGGGGCTGGAGAAAAATCCTTAAGGTTCAACAAAAGGCCAAAAATCTTGTCAAGCATATTCCAGGGGATGGGAAGGACATTTTCATTTGGCATGATGCTTGGCATCCAGCTATTCCTTGTTAGGAAAAACTAGCTGTGGTAGTGTGAGTTAATTATTGGAACTGGCCTCCAGCCTGCTCTCCGCAGTTAGTTCAGATTCAAGTTGATCTATGTGGCAAGCTATATCCCCAAGAGGGAATTAAAGATATTGTTGTATGGGTACCCTCAGCCTCTGGAAGATTTCATACAGGGCAGACATGGCATTGGCTAAGACAAAAGCAGAATAGGGTTCCTTGGTTCGAGCTAATATGGTTCTCAGACTCTATTTCCAAACATAGCTTAACCGCGTGGCTGGCCATTTTGAATAGGCTTACTACTAAAGCAAGACAGAAAAAATGGACATCAAGCATCAATGATATCCGCACTTTATGTGGTTCAAACGTCAGAAACATGTAAACACATATTTTTTAAGTGCAGTTTTTCAGCTCAGCTCAGATTTGGCAGCCTTTATCATCCACAGCTGGCGTTCCTTTTCATGATTCATATCTCACTTTATTGGCTTGGATGGGGAAAAGGATTAGGAGGAAATCTTTGCAAGTGACCCTTATAAAACTTGCATGGAATGTTGTTGTATATCATGTTTGGATGAAGAGAAATAGAAGGATTCATAAGCAAACTTTCAAACCAATTCAACTCATTATTGCTGAAATTAGAAGGATGTTCTTGATAAGATTTTGGGCGTTGCTAAGCCCCATTCTTCTCCCTTGTCCCCTGGCATAGCTATTTGGTGGGGGCTTGAAAATTTTGTACAATGAAGTTTCTTCTGAGGATTAGGAGTTATTTCCTTTTGGTGTAACGGCTGTTGCTTTTTCTTCTTCTTCTTCTTCTTCTTCTTCTTCTTCTTCTTCTTCTTCTTTGAACTGGGCAAACTTGGTGAGTGGGGGCTTGGGGGTGGGGCAGTGAGCTATGATGTCCTAAACACCACCCCTGCTAGGGGTTGACCACTAGATCAATTAATGATGGACTTGGTTGCCTTATTGGACATTGATAGTTATACTAGATAAATAATATTTCACATTTTATTAAAATGAAAAATCTTAAAGTAGGTGTGTTCTATTCGTGAACAGATTTATGACCGCATGGCATGAGTTGAACATGTGGATCATGCTTGGCAATCAGCATAGCATGATGTTAAGGCATTACTAGGTGCACAGACAACTCCTATGTTGGAGTCTATACTGTCTCTTCCATCATAGCATAGTTTCTAGGTCATAGTTACAATTAATGCTTATGTTCGTTGCTGAAACATCCTTGTTTCCTTTTGCCAAACAGCTGCTTGCCATCCAGGTATTACCATCTGCCATATTTGTTACTAAAGGGTTTTTGAATATGAATGGAGCCCCGGCAAGGAGTGGTGCCGATTTTTGGGAGACAATGGTAGGATCTCTCACATGAATTTAACTTTTTACATTTTTCTTTTGTATGCGGTATTCACAATGATAATCCCATTGTTTTTAAACTTGAACCAGACTGGTTAATCGGTTTGACTAGTTAAATTAGAATCAATTACAAAAATATTTCGATTTATAATACAAACCCAATGTATAGTGAAATTCGGTCAAACTAAGTCAAGTTTAGTTAAATTTTGAAAAAACACCCATTAAATTTGTTAGTTTTTAAGCCAGTGAATAATCTGATTCACAAAGTTTTAAACATATTTTAACAAGTTTGTGCATAAGGAGATTCAAACCCCAATCCCTCAACGCACATTTTAGGTTTCCATCACTAGGCCACCAATACCACTAATGTCATTCTTGAACAAAGTTTCATTTATTAAAATAAAATAAAATTTAATTTAATTTAATTTAATTTTTTTTAA